AGTATCCGCGCATCATCCAAGCCATGACGTTCCTTTGTGGGCTGTTCTTCCGGGTCACGATATGTCTGCTCGCGAGCAGGAGTGCTTCTACAACATGCCTGCCCGAAGCAATTCCTGAGTTTGAGCGCGCATTCATCAAAACCCTTGATGGCACGGACATCCCCATTGGATTCTTCCAAGGCGCATGGGAGTCATCTTACCTGACATCGGACATTGCCCGAATCCTGGTTGAGGAAGTGTTGGGCTACCATACATGGATACACCCGGAGGATGGACGCAGTGCAGTCACCTCGCCGTATGCCCTAGCCGGGTGTTTGGATTTCAACAATGCTACAAATCAACAGTGTGGCATCAACGAGACCCGACTCCATGTTTGTGTAGACTGCTGGTCGGCCTCGTATGCTTCAGTAGTCGAAGAAATGAAGGAGACGTTCCCGCACTTGATACCCGTGGATCTGGGCAGCATGGGATACGAAGGCGAAGAGTCGATGTACGTCACCAAGGCTGTTCTCCAGCAAGCACTGGACGCCGAGGGCTTGGCGTTGGACTTCTACCGAGGCTACAATCTGACGCACCATAACCCCAAGCAGTACTTCGACAGCATCGACACCATAAACTTGGCAGACCTGTTCCCTTGCGAAGAAACCGATTTCTACAAGCCGGAGTCGATGGCAGCCTATGCCAGATGGACAGGTGATGCTGCAGGACTTCAGGTGCTAGCGAATGGCAACTACGCGGCCAAGTGTCATGCAGGCAAGTGGTGGATATCGCCCCAGTGCCGAAGTGATACATCGACTTGCATCCCGGTGATTACCGCAGGTGTCGGGTGGAAGCTCCAGGCCATGATGTTCTGGTCGACGACCTATGGCCTTCCGACGGCAATCGCCGTGGCCAACTCCTGGGGCAACTACGTAGCGATTGTTTCCACTACACGCAGCCTCTACTACTGGTGGGTGCCGGACGCAACATTCATCACGCAGCAGCCGCATTCCATCACGTTCCCACCCTACTCCGCCACGGAGTGGGCTCAGGGCAACATGAGGACGGCAGCAAGTGGAACCTACATCAGCAAGGCGGTCAGCAGCAATTTTGCAAACCAGGCACCACGGGTCAGCAGCTTCATTGC